TGGTTGCATAGTGTATGGATCATTTGAAACAACATTTAAGGGCAAAATTTTGATTTTCAATGTTCTAATCTAAAAAACAAGAATTAAATTTTTTAAATCTAAAAAACAAAAAAATCATGCTATGTCACACCTTTAAAATTATTTTACACTTACAAGAAAAAATGAAAGAGATATACTAAAATATATAAGAGTGATATAATATCCTATTTTATAAAAAACCAGACTACTCAAAACAGCAAAAATAATTCCAACATATTTATATCCAGAAAATGCTAAAATGTCAAGTGTCGTTAAAGATGTTGAAATAGCTGATATATATATTGACACTGTATGAATAATGATTTCCACAATAGTCCATGCTAAAGCTGAAGAAGCCTGAATTCCCAATACTTCTGGAGTAAATCGATTCTACAAATAATAAAAACAAATGTTTTTTTTTTTTTTAAATTTATTTCATCGAAAAAATATATATTTAAGAATTTAAGGTATATTAATATTACTGCATAATAATATTACAATAAGATACTATAATAATTTTTTAGTTCTTCAGTTTTTTATCCTCAATATAAACCAATAATGAAAATTTACTATTTTTTTCCATTAGACAAACAAAGTTTAATTAAATTTTCCTAGATTTAAAAAAAAATAATAATAATTTTTAAAATCACACACCTGTGTTCCCAAAGCTAAACCTGCTACTAAGACATATGTTAAGTAAGCCATTGTTGGAATATATAAATCTGGAGCATTAACTTCATATCGAGGTTGAACAGGCTCATTTGATGCATATTTTACAGACCAATCCTAAAAATATAAAATTTCTAATTATCTCATTCTTTTATTCTTTGTTTTATAAATTTACATGTTTTATTATCTCATTTTATGCTTATTAATAAAAAAAAAAAAAAAAACAAAATTCAACTACTAATCAAAATTATAACCTTACCTTGTGTACATATGGAAACATAATTAAACTCAACTTCTTGTACACATAAGCTGTATCAACAGCAAAATAGTATTTTAATCTGGAAACTGGAACATATTTCTCAATTTCCTTATCAACATATTTTTTCCCAGATCCAACAAATTGACCATAAGTTAAAGCTGCAGCATTAACAAGTGGATCAGACAAATATTGACTTGGTACTGTAAAACCAGAGCCTTCAGAACCAGGCATAGGAGAGGGCTGTTGCATTTGGGACATCCCATATTGAATATTAGGATTGTATGAACCTGATGGTCAAATATTTATTCATCAGATAATATAATTTAAAAATTTAAACAAGATAAAAACGGAAAAACAAACCAGGAATTTGCATATCATTATATCCAACAAACTGGTTGTTTAAATTAGAACCGGGATAATTAGAAAATGAAGCTTCTGTATTTACAGAATTGGGTTGAGCATATTGATTATACGAAGGCTGAAAACCTGGGTTTGATGGTCCATCAAAAGTTTGTTTACCTAGTCTTTTGGCCCCCAGTTTAGATGCTACATTACAAATAATACAAAAAATTATGAGTAATTTACTTGTTTGAAAATAAATAAATGCATACAATTACATTTTAAATGAATTATGTTCATATAAAAAAATTATTTATATATGTATATATTAGGTTGTTATAAGTCAAAAAAAAAAAAAGATATAATACACATTTAAGAGCTAAAAACAAAAACATGATTATTTGTAGGTAAATAAAAATAAATTATGTAAACAAATTTCTGAACTTTTTATAAAATAAAAATTTTTGAAGTATGTAAGTTTTCAATAATTAGCTTGCTTAAATATATTTTTTCTGTAAAAGATCCAAATTTTTATTAAATATATACTCAATTTTTCTGAGCAATAAAAAATTTGGCAAAACTTAATTTTACATTTAGAAATTTTTTTTATAAATGCGCTCTTAAAATGGTAAAATTAAAAGTTTAGTGTAAAACTAAACTTTAGCTTTTTCCTGTTTTTTTTTTTTTTTTTTTTTTTTTTTTTTTTTATAAATCAAGTTTATCAGTAGACTTTCAATAATGCAGTATTAATTGGTTTAAATAATTAAAACAGCATGTTAAAATTTTAATAAATGCATTTAAGTTAATTTGAAACTTACGGTGCCTCCCTCCAGAAGCGTTGAAATTCATTAATATTAAAATAAAAATTGATTGAAAACAATAAAGAAAAATAAATAATAATTCAGTTTAAACTTAGAGTTTTGTCATATTAAACGACAATAACATTCCACGATTACCAAAATTGCTAATGACACGATTTTTTTTTTTTACTCTAAGTCTAGTACGGAACCGCGAAACTTAATTAATAATTTTTTGTATATTTTGTGCTTCTAAGAAAAATAAAAATGAATTTTACTGAGAATACAAATAATGTTGAAAGCTCTGAAAATATTATTAATGCACCATGGTATTTTCAACTTAAAAGTAAATTATGTTTTTGAATATTTATTTTAAAAAATTAATTTAATCTTATTATTTTTTTTAGGATTGAAAAATACAGACCTGTTACCTTTAAAGATGTTGTGGGAAATGATGATGCTATTCGAAGATTAGCAGCTTTCGCTGAAGTTGGAAATGTTCCGAATATTTTAATTGCTGTAAGTTGTAGGTTTTTTTATCTTATTAATTGATTATTAAAACATTCAATGTTGATCCAATCTTAATATAGATTACAAACGTTAAAAATGTTTGCCTACAAGTCAAATTAATTGCCAGTGGGTATTTAAGTTACATCTAAAAGATTTAGTGTTATCTTAAATACATATTTGTGACTGGAAAATTAAATATTTTAGCTAAATAATATCAGGATTTTATGTTATAATATTAAAAATCTTATTAACTTTTGCACAATACTTATGAGCCATAAAATTTCAAATCATTAATTTACTAAAATGTTTTAAATGTATTCTCTCTCAATTAATTAGGGTCCACCTGGAGTGGGCAAAACAACTACAATTCTTTGTTTGGCAAGAATTTTACTTGGCCCATCATTTAAAGAAGCTGTTTTAGAATTAAATGCCTCAAATGATAGAGGTATAGATACAGTTCGAAACAAAATTAAAATGTTTGCTCAGCAAAAAGTAACATTACCAAAAGGGAAACATAAAATAATTGTTTTGGATGAAGCAGATAGGTTAGTAAAAGTGAAATCTAAAGTTTTTGTGACACTAAATTTATAAAAATTATATCTTAGAAAATTTATTCATTAAATTTTATTATAGCATGACAGATGGTGCACAACAAGCTTTAAGAAGAACTATGGAAATGTACAGTCAAACTACTAGATTTGCATTTGCTTGTAATGATAGTTCCAAAATAATAGAACCACTACAATCTAGATGTGCTGTTTTAAGATTCACTAAACTAAAAGATGAAGAAATATTAAAAAAGTTATTACAAATATGTGAAAGCGAACAGGTAAAATTTTATTATAAAAGTTAAATTTTTATAAACTTAATGGCATCATACTTTTTAAACTTTAATCTTAAATTATTACCCTAGATTTCATATACCAATGATGGGCTAGAAGCTGTAATTTTTTCAGCCCAAGGAGATTTAAGACAAGCTTTAAATAATCTGCAATCTACTCACAATGGTTTTTCACATGTTAATAGTGATAATGTCTTTAAAGTTTGTGATGAGCCTCATCCTGTAATGATTGGAGAAATGCTTGAACATTGCATGAAAGCAAATTTTCAAGATGCTTATAAGGTACATATATTTTTTTTAAGTAAAGTTAAAAAGTTCTATTGAAATATTTTAAAATCCCTAATAGAGTTCTTAAAGAAATTTTACTTCATCATAAACATTTTATATGTAATTTATTGTATTTACTCGAGTAAATTTTTGTAATTTAAATACTATTTTGTATATAATTTTTTTTAAATTTTAGATATTGAATCATTTATGGAAATTGGGATATTCTGCTGAAGATATAATTTCAACAATATTTAGAGGAACAAAATTAATACTGGGGCAAGTGGATTTAGTATTAAAATTTTTGAAAGAAATAAGTCTGACTCATTTAAGAATTGTTGAGGGCACCAGCTCTTTACTGCAATTATCAAGTTTACTTGCAAAATTATGTACTATTGCTACTGAAAATAACACAAATAATTAAATAATTGATTATACATTTTTTTTAATTTAATTTATTTTCCTTTTCAATCTTTAAATTATAGTTTTTTATAAGTATTTAAATATTTTAAAATAAAAATATAAATTTTTGCTATTATTCTTTTTCTAAAATTATTATTTTTAAATGGGTGCTCATTTAGTATATTTTTTAAGGCTACATTTCTGGTTAAATAAGTTTTGTAATTGACACAAACGATTTAAGGTCGTGGCAGCAAATAAAACTATGTATATTACCCACGCTAACGTTTTTCTACTTACACGTTTATTTGCACAATAACGGTAGAATTAAATAATAACAAAGAAAACATGTATAACGTGAAAAATTGTTTTGGTTTTGAAGAAGAAGATGCTAATATATCGCTTTGGAATAACTCATCAGTTTTAAGTAGTACATTAGCACCCATTGAATTTCAAGCAGATAAGCCTTATAGACTTGCATTATATATTAAACCAAGTGAGCGAAGAAAAAAAGTTGTAACAAATGCTTTTTCATTACTTAAGCGGGAAAAAATTAATAGTACCGTAAAAAAAAATGAAATTAACAAATCTTCAGCACATAAAAATGTTAATTCAACAAAAAAAAATAAAAGTGGAAGAAAAGTAAACGTAATGCTTTTTGATGAAAATGTTGTGCCGCCAAATGATAAAAAGGTGAGTTGGTTGTCAAAAGCCATAAATAATTTTTCAGTAATAATTAATTTTTTTGATTTTTTAATTCAAAAAAATTTTTTTTTATTTTTTTATTTTTTTAAAAGACTGAAGAAACATCACCCAAAAAAATCAAAAATGATATTACCAGTTTCCTTAAAAATTCTAATACTTCAAAAAAAAATGTTTTAACTGAATTAAATAGTAAACCAGTTGCAAAATCAAAACAGTATAAAGTAAGAAAATCTTATGAAAGAAAATGCAAAGGAACAAATTGTGATGTTATCGCTGAGAAAGCTTCAGATGAAATTATTAAAGAGTTGGAAATTAAGAAATTGTCAAAAACAAAATTAAAAAAGTCAAATAAAGAAGATCAAGAATTTGAAAAGTGGGCTAGTGATATTAATTCAGATTTTAATGATGTTGATAAATTTGAACTGTCTATTGCTTATGACTAAGTTGCTTTTATAGTTTTTCGTCATTACTTTTAAATTTTTTTTACTTTCAACTGTATAATAGGCTGTACAAAATCAATTTTATTATTTAATAGAAAATTATATGTTTCTTAATATTAATTTTAACATCTGTGTTATTTTATGAGTGACATGTAAAGATAATAGTTTGTTTTATGTTTCACTTGTCTTATAATTTTAATGTAATATTTTCTTTTATAAATTTCATGCTAATGATTAAATGCTAATTTTTGTTGAGTCTTCATCTTTTAAATTAACTCAACCTAAAAATAAATAAGAATTTTTTAATTTTATAATTCTTATCATATATCACATCTCTTGAAATAAATACTTTTTTTATATACAAAATTTTTAAGATTAAAGTTTTTTTTATGTACAATGAATCCAAATATTTTTTTAAATTTTTTCATTATATTTTAATTATTTGTTCCAATTGAAATAATATAAATTTTAATAAAGAGTTTGTTAATTTTAATTTTTTCTTTTTTAATAAATATTTTATAAATCTAATTTATTTTATGTAAAACTTTAATTTAAACTTCTTTTATTTATTGACGTTTTAAGTTGTTACAAGTAGCTTACTCCTTGTAATTATGGTTTATTCAATTTACAAATACCCTGTATACATTTTAATTGATATTTCAATTAATAAAATATTTAAAATAGTGATTTATTATCTGGTTTGTTGCCTTCTTCAATTATTCTCTTATGTAATTTTTATAATTTTTAATTTTCTTATTGGTCTACTGTTGTAATTCACAGCAGCGACATATTGTTGTTGTGATAAATCTTAAATTGTAATTGTGTTATTTTTTTAATAACTCTTTCTCATTCATATTTATCATAAATTTGTGTCAAACATACTAATATAATGTGTAATTTGAGATTAGGGACTTTTTATCTAAATTTCTAAAATAACTTTTACTTATTTATAAGTCTGAAGAGCTTGATTCTCAGCAGGATAGTTAAAAGCTTTTATTTGGATATTAATTTTCCTCTGAAAAGATAGTTGTTTATGTCTTTTTTAATATTGTCAATAGCTTTTTTTTTTGGAAGAAGAAGAGAATTACTTAAGTTCATCTCTAATTTAGCATTTTCTGCGATTGGGCTACTATTATTATAAAAGAAAAATATTAATAGTATTTTATAACTTGTTCTTAAAAAATTTATTTTTGTAGAAACCTATTTTTTACAGTTTATAATATTAATTTAAATTATTTTTTATCAGAAATTAATAAATTTACTGAAATTGTTATTGGTATCTGGTAAAAAAAAATTGGTTTGTATTATTTTTTAAAAATGATGTATTTAACATATAAAACATTCTACAAATATACAAATTTATTGAATTATATTTCATTTTTCCTTAAATCTCTAAAATTTATAATAATTAAAATAATTCTACGCTGAAAACACATTTAAAAGTGCTTCCTTTATTAGTAAAATTTTCAGTTTTTATATTATTTTAATAAAATTTTGAATTATAAAGTAAAAACTTAACAAAAATCAAAAACACTTTTATTTTATTTTTTTCCAAAAAAAAATATGCGAAACTTATTCATTATGAAAAAATTTTCAAAGTACAACTGTAGATATTTTTTTTTTTTTACTATTTCTTAATAAAATAAAAAAAAAAAAATACTTTAAATTGAAAATAATCAATTATAATATTGAGTTTATAAAACTAAAAGAGTTTAAAAATATTGTTAATGTCTATTTCCGGTAAAGCGATAATTGCAGATTTCGATTTTGTTTGTGTTTGTACGCCGGGGTAAAGATTCATTTTTATTGTATTTTCAATTATTGTTAAAAATGTCCCATCATTATGTTGTTACGGCTCAAAAGCCAACAGCGGTTACAGCATGTGTCACAGGTTAGTATTCACATAAATAATTTAAATATTTTAATTTTGATAAAACTTAAGTTGATCATTGTAATAAAGGAAACATCATGAAAATGTGAGGAGTACGTTACATATTTACTTTTATTTTCATTTATAGTTTTTAATTTTTCAAATGAAATTTTTACACTATGTTTCTTAAAATTTAATTAAATTTAACTTATCATATTTATTTATTTAATGTATTATTACTTTCCTAAATTTTTCATAAAATCGTATCAAGAAATTTCTATTTATTATAATTTGTAATTCACAGATTTTTTGGTTAAAAAAATTCACTCAAACCAAAGGACTATAAATTTTTTTTAGGTAACTTTACTTCACCAAGTGATTTAAATCTTATTTTGGCAAAAAATACAAGATTAGAAATTCATTTGGTTACCCCAGAAGGCTTGCGGCCTTTAAAGGAAATTGGGCTTTATGACAGAATATCTGTAGTAAAATTCTTTAGGCCACCAGTAAGTTTTTAACTTGATGAATAATTAACTATGTCGTAATTCCAAACTAAATACTTATATTTAGTTATGTATTTGAAAAAAAATTTCTTTATTATTATTACGATTCATTTCTGATAATTTTTACAGCATGAACATAAAGACTTACTTTTCATAGTGACTACTAGGTATAATGCAATGATATTAGAGTGCATTGGGGATGGGGAAAATATAGAAATTAAAACTAAAGCACATGGTAATGTAGCAGACAGAATAGGAAAACAGTCAGAAACTGGTGAGTTTACACTTATTTAAGTAACGTTAATTGTATGTATGTAATTTTTTTGTTTTATAACAGCTTTAAAAATTATTTTACTTATATATAAATTAGGTATAATAGCAGTAATCGATCCAGAAGCCAGAGTTATTGGGCTAAGGTTATATGATGGACTTTTAAAGATTATTCCATTAGGTAAAGACAATTCAGAATTAAAAGCTTCCAGTATAAGAATGGAAGAGGTTGAAGTACAAGATTTAAATTTTCTTCACGGATGCCAAAATCCCACAATTATTCTCATTCATCAAGTTAGTCATGTTTTACATTTTATAAATATGTTTTAAAATTAATTCTCACAAAATAAAATAATTGCAGGATATTAATGGTCGACACGTTAAAACACATGAGATTTCTCTTAGGGACAAAGAATTTGTGAAAATGCCATGGAAACAAGATAATGTGGAACCTGATGCATCAATAGTTATACCTGTGCCTGAGCCATTGTGTGGAGCTATAATCATAGGTCAAGAATCTATTTTATATCATAATGGAGCTGGTTATGTTGCTGTCGCACCTCCCGTAATCAATGTAAACCTTGTTTTAATTTTTAAGCGATTTATGTTTGCTAAAGTGATATTTAATTTCATAAAGTAAATTTTAATTTTTGAAATAAATTTTTTTATCAGCAAAGTACAATAACTTGTTATACTCAAGTAGACTCTAATGGCTCAAGATACTTATTAGGAGACATGGCTGGTCATTTATTTATGTTGTTACTGGAAACAGAAGAAAAAATTGATGGAACTCCTTGTGTTAAGGAAAATGGATTAAAAGTTGAATTATTAGGTGAAATCAGCATTCCAGAAGCCATAACATATCTTGATAATGGTGTGCTTTTTATTGGTTCTCGTTGTGGAGATTCTCAACTTGTTAAATTAAATACAAGTCCGGATGAAAATGGGTACTATGTCACAATAATGGAGGCATTTACAAATTTAGCACCTATTCTCGATATGGTGGTAGTGGATTTAGAAAGGCAAGGACAGGGACAGTTAGTTACATGTTCTGGTACATTAATTTGTTTTTATTTTTTATTAATTAAAATCAATTTTTGAAAAGCTTTTTTAATAATAACTTTTTATTATAAGAGATTAATAAATAATTTTTAATTACTGTATAACTATTAATATTATTTAATTTAGGTGCTTTTAAAGAAGGTTCATTAAGAATTATCAGAAATGGTATTGGTATTCAAGAACATGCCACTATCGATTTGTTGGGAATAAAAGGAATGTGGGCTTTAAGAGCTTCACTTGATAGTGTGTACGATAACACAATTGTTCTAGCCTTTGTAGGTCAAACAAGGTAATTTATTTTCATTATTCAAATTACTATACATTAAATTTACTTAGTTAACATAAAATTTTTTTTTAGAATATTGACTTTAAATGGAGAAGAAGTAGAAGAAACAGAAATACCCGGTTTTTTATCAGATCAACAATCATTTTATTGTGGAAACGTCGAAAACAATAACATGATTCAGTTGACTCCCACTTGTGCTCGCCTTATATCAGTTGAAACAAAGCAACTGGTCAGTGAATGGCGACCACCAGCGGGAAAAACAATTAGCGTTGTTGCTTGTAATACTGTTCAAGCTATATGTGCTGCGGGTAGTGATTTGTATTATTTAGAGATATTGAAAAATGAATTAGTTCAAAAAGGGTTTGTTTCAATTTCTAATATTTATCTGATGTAGTATAAAAACAAAATTTAATTCGGTTAGACATCAATTAAAATTTTATGTTTTTTTAGGAACACAACATTAGAGTACGAAGTAGCTTGCTTAGACATTACACCTCTTTCTGAAGGTGGTAAAACGGCTGATATAATTGCTGTTGGACTGTGGACAGATATTTCTGCTCGCATTTTAAAACTTCCGGATCTTGAAGAGTTAAACAGGGAATATCTAGGAGGAGAAATTATTCCTAGATCCATATTAATGACTTGCTTCGAAAATATTAATTACCTTTTATGTGCTTTGGGGGATGGTTCCATGTTTTATTTTTCATTAAATAATCAAAATGGGATTTTATCGGACAAAAAAAAAGTATTAATATTTTTTTATTGTTTGTTTTAATGTTTTTAATAAGTAAAGTGCTTTAAATAAAACAAATTTATTTTAGGTTACGTTAGGTACGCAGCCTACAGTTTTACGAACGTTTCGCTCTCTGTCCACCACAAATGTTTTCGCTTGCTCGGACAGACCCACAGTTATTTACTCTTCCAATCACAAACTTGTTTTTTCAAATGTAAATCTTAAGGAGGTAAATCATATGTGTTCCCTCAACTCAGAAGCATATCCCGACAGCTTAGCCTTAGCCACTGATAGTACTGTTACTATAGGAACTATTGATGAAATTCAAAAACTTCACATCCGAACAGTACCACTAGGAGAATCACCTAGAAGGATAGCGTATCAAGAAACAACCCAGGTTAATAATTTTACTGTGATTTTTATTTTTGATAAAAATTACATCACAATTTTTTTAAATTATTACTTTTTTTAAAGACTTTTGGAGTCATAACGATGAGAATGGATGTTCATCAAAGGTCTGGTTTAATACCTGTAAAACAAAGTGCCAGTACTCAAGCTCAAAGCATCTCTTCATCTAGTAATATAGGGGGAGCTCATAACCTTAAAAGTGGACCAGCTGCTTCCATAAATTCCTTTGCAGAATTCGGTCAAGAAGTGGAAGTTCATAATTTATTGGTCATCGATCAGCATACTTTTGAAGGTACTCAAATCTGAGTTTTTTTAAATTTACTTTTATTTTGATTGTATTTGTTTTTTAAGTGTTACATGCTCACCAATTTATGCAGTCAGAGTATGCATTGAGTTTAATATCTACAAAATTGGGTGATGACCCGAATACTTATTACATTGTCGGAACAGCAATGGTTAATCCAGATGAAAGTGAATCAAAGCAAGGAAGAATTTTAATATTTCAATTTCAAGAAGGAAAATTATATCAGGTTGCTGAAAAAGAAATTAAGGGTGCTGCTTATTCTCTTGTAGAATTCAATGGTAAACTCTTGGCCAGTATAAATAGTACTGTATGTAAAATTTAATTCAATATTTACGATACGACTATTTTAAATTTTTTTTACTAATTCCCAAGGTTTTTTTTTTTTTTTTTTACACAGGTCAGATTGTTTGAATGGACTGCAGAACAAGAATTAAGATTAGAATGTAGCCATTTCAATAATATAATATCTCTTTATTTGAAAACGAAAGGTGATTTTATATTAGTCGGAGATTTAATTCGTTCAATGACTTTGTTGCAATATAAAACTATGGAAGGATGTTTTGAAGAAGTATTAAAATTTTAAATGTTTTCCTTTTTTTTTTTAATTTAGAAAGTATAAAGTGTGGGTGAACTAAATTCAAATCTTATATAAATCTTTTGCAGATGGCCAGAGATCATAATCCAAATTGGATGACGGCTGTGGAAATAATTGATGATGATACTTTTTTAGGTGCCGAAAATTCATTTAATTTGTTTGTGTGTCAAAAAGACAGGTATAAACCCCAAATTAAATTTATCATTCGAAAGTTTAAAATTTAGAATATTTTGTCTGATTAGAGTTATTATTTATTTAAGTGCGGCAGCGACTGATGAGGAAAGACAGCAAATGCACGCGGTAGGAATGTTTCATTTAGGTGACATGGTAAACGTGTTTCGTCACGGATCATTAGTTATGCAAAATGTCGGAGAAACTAGCACACCTACAACAGGTTGTATTCTTTTTGGCACCGTTAGTGGAGCAATAGGTAAATAAATAAAAAATTTTTTTCTTTTTTTGTTATACCTACATGTAATAAAAACGTTATTAATCTCAACCGAAGTTAAAAATTTTACGTATAATAAATATTTTTTTAAGGTTTGGTTACACAAATTTCTGCAAATTTTTACAACTTTTTACACGAATTGGAATGTAAATTAACCGAAGTTATTAAATCAGTTGGTAAAATAAAACATAGTTTTTGGAGAAGTTTTACAACGGAAATAAAAACAGAACCGTGTGACGGATTCATTGACGGAGATTTAATTGAAAGCTTTTTAGATTTGTCACACGAAAAAATGAAGGAAGTTGCTGCAGGCCTACAGGTACCCCTAAAATGATTTCTAGACTCATTTTGAATCATTTGCATCAATGCTTGTGTGATTAAAAAATTTTTATTTGTGTAAAATTTTCAGATTGATAATGGAAGTGGAATGAAACAAGAAGCTACAGTTGATGATTTAGTTAAAATGGTAGAAGATTTAACTCGAATACATTAAGTGTATATAATTATTTTGTTTAAAAAAAAGAAAACTCAGTAATGTTAAGTTAATGATATCTATAACTTTCTTTTTATAAATTTGTATCTGAATTGTATATTAAGCAGGTTTTTTTTTTGAGCATTATAAGTATTAGCTTTATATAAGATTAAAAAGGTTTGTTTTTATTTGATAATGAAAGAACCCTAGTGATTTTTTTTTTATTTTATTTTTTATTTTTAAATGAAAAGTTATTGATTTCTTTTTTTGTTTTCAGAATTAAGGTTGTATTATTTTATTATTATTATTATTATTGTACTTTAATATTATAAAGAAAAAATTGTTTTGATCATTAAAATGTTTTAATTGCTAATAAGAGTTTTGTTTTGTGATAATTTTCCTTCAATCCATTTTTCAATATTTTCAATTCCTTCCCCACTTACCCCACTAGATTCTATTATTGTTATAGGCTGCATTACTTCTTTAACAAGACGTTTCATTTGAAGAATTAACAAGGCTTCATTTCTCATTTGGCGATAAGATAAATCCATTTTGGTAAGTACTATTAATATCTTTGATAGAAAAAAATTGAAAATGTTAAATATTAATTTTTTTAAATTTCTAACACGATATAAATTTAAAATTCTTACTTTAGCATTGATTAAACTCGGATTGGCTAATACTGTGTATAATAAAATTCCTGCCGCTGCAATCTGACAGAGATTACTGGTATCAACAACATAAATAATTTTATTAACTCCATGAAAATATTTTTCCCACATTGGCGCCATAATTCCACCCAATTCGCGAATCACGTATTCTCGCGAAGTTCCCGAGGTTTTGTTCAAGAATTTTACAACCGTCAAATCTGAACCAGTAGTAGGTACGGTATGTGAAGTTTCGTCAATTGCGTTTCTATTTTTTAATTTTTTTAACAACAATGTTTTTCCAGCTCCGGAAGGACCCAAACAAATTATTGAGTTCATTTTCGAAAAGGTAGAAAAAAATTTTTATCACGCAATAACGATTAATTGTTTCCAGAGCAACAATTTTTATGTTTCATTCACCTCATTTTATTTTTAAGTTTTGCTTTTATACTTAAATTACAACAACAAAAAAACTTTATAATTTACTTTATCTTGTTTTTTTAAAATAATGTTAGAATAATATTACGGTGGTAATTATTATTTTAAAGAACTTTTTTAATTCTGTAAAGTAGTAATGTAGATTCCGCGGAAAAAATTCGTTTCTATTTCAAAATGGCGGTTGTTACAGGTGACGTTAGTCACCTGACATAATTTGCTAAGTGCTGACGTTAATTTTGTTTTATTAAATAAACAATAGATATTAAAAATAATTTTTTTATCAAATAGCCAAGTTTTTAAAATTTTCAAACAAACTTTTTCGTAATATTGAAATAATTAAGCCAAATATATTTTAATTTCACAAATATTGGGTAGCTACTTTTTCCTCTAAGATGGTTTTTTTATGTGAAAAATGAAAATCCTCATTATAATAACGAATTAGTTTGTTATCAATATTTAAGTTACAATATGTCGAACATAATGCCTTTTATTATGTCTTCACCTCCACCTATTGATGATAATGAGGAGGATGAAGACGATGAATTCGGTGATTTTAGAATGGCAGAACATAGTTTCGCTTTAAATGGTAAGTCATAATTTTAATTCAAAAATTTTTTTACAACAACTATTAAATTATTACTTTTAAAAGAGTCTTATTATGTTTATGAGCATATTACTATTAAATTTAACAATAAAATTTTGATAATTATAAATATTGTGATAAACTTCTATAGGAAATGTATATTGCAGTATTAATTTATTAATATTCATACAGAGTATAATCCAGTAAGTGAATCACCAGATTCAGTGGATCCAGTTAAATCATGGGAGGCAGAACTAAATGTATCGTCATCAGAGAAACCTAATGAGTATTACCAAAATTTTGTAAATATAAATGAAAATTTAAGTAATTTGGAAGAGGAAAGCAATAAAATTGTAAATACAATTGATTCTACAATAAGTTTTTCAGAATCTTCTTTTAATGATTTTGAAGAAAGTGTATCTGATAGGAAACAAACAGCAATAAATTTTACAGAAAATTTGGTTGAAAAATTCGAATCAGGTGTAAATAAATTAGGTCCAGAAACTGCTTTAAATGTTACTTCTAATGCAACAGAAACTACGTCAAATGATACTCATAACTTAGAAGAAATCAGTGAAAAAACTATTGTTGATTCACATACAAATAATGAACAATTTCATGAGTTGAAATCATTACCTGAAGAAATCAGTGAAATAAATAAAGAGACAGTAATAGTGAATAATTTAAGTACAGAAAGTTCTTCTGAATTGATTAGCAATAGTTCACAAGAAAATGTAATAAGTACAGTGAATGAAAACGATGAATATAGTGACTTTACAGATTTCACATCTGGAAATAAATTAAATTTTGTGCAACAAACTGAAGTGGCTGATAGAGAACCAAATGCAGTAAATAATTTAGATGAAAATGAAGTGGATGATTTTAATGACTTTCAAGGAATAGTTTCCGAGTCTTCTCCTACTAAAGAGGTAATATTTTAAAACTTACTTATATTTTGTTTACAATTATATGTAGAAACTACTTTATATTATAACTTAAATAAATTTTTCCAATATTGTTTTTTCTTAAATAAATTTAACTTCAAATAACATGTAAATTTTGTGTTATTCAAAAATTTCAGCCTACAGTTCAAGAGACATTAAAACTAATGTTTAATAGTAGTCACGAGGAACCTACAAATATTGAAGAAGTAAATGGGGCTCCATTAACAGATACTCTTCACTCATGTTTAGATGACAGTAGTTCAGTGTGGGGCCTTTTAAAAGAGTTAGAGGCCAGTCATGCTCTTTTGTATCAGTGGTCTAATTCACAATCGAATAAGATTTTATTATCATCACTGAATATAGACTGCAGAAATATTGTAGGTTATTATGGATTTTTACTAAATTCATTTTTAATATTTCAGCTCTCAACATATTTTTCAAGAATAAACTAAAAGTTTTTTTTATTTATTTTAATTTTGTAATTTAATTTACAAATTATATTATTTTTTCAAGTTTTTCGGAGCCAAATGGAATTTATGTGTGCCTCGTTTCGCTGCTAATTTAGGAGTAAATCCACTTGAACCAGTTAAGGCAAATGAAAACTCTAAATTTGCTCAATCAAATTTTCCAAAAACTGAAAGTACTGTTGAGGTAATCATTTTCACTATCCAGAAAATTTTTTATTTCCATTAACACTTAAAAAATAATAATAAATAATCAATTTTAATTTTACAGGAAGTAGTTCCAGCAGCACAATTTGATTGGAATGGAAGTGGGCTGACAAATCCATTAGATAGTGAGTTTTTTTAAAATATTTTTTTGTACTTAGAATAGATATTAGGGATTATCTTATAAAAACGTGAATTATATTGACCATGATATTTCCCAAGTATTCGTTTCAACTTTTTAAAAAATTTAAAATGTAAATCTCATGGTCAAAAAATTTAAATTAGTTTTAAGGTAAATATTTAATACCTGGTAGAAACAAATTTTTAAAATTAATAATGGAGTTTATAAAATTACACACGACATATATATTTAATTTAAAAATGAAAATAAGAAGAAGAACTTTAAAATTTTTAAATACCATAAAATAAGTTATTGATTTAAACATTTAAATGCACAGGGCAATAAGTTCGAAAAAAGAATTTAAATACTTAAAGAGAAATTTTTTTTGTTTTTTTTTTTTTAAATTTTAAATGTTTAAAATGATCTTATTTTTTTTTTTCGAACTTATTGACACGGATTTAATTAATTATTAATTAAAAATATTGGATAAGTTATTTTATAATAATTTTTTTGTTTGATTAACAATAATTTCTTATTAACAATACTTTTCGCCTCATCCAAATAGCTTCCCATTTGACTCTCCTTGACCTTGATTTTTTTACAAAATTTGACGATATTTCCTTATCCTCTAATGCTGCTACATCGTTTTGGAAAAATATTAGTGAGTAATTTCCAATAATAATAATAATAATAATAAAAAGATTTCAAAATGAATTTTTTTTATTCTAAAAAAATAATATTTTGTATTTTAGGTTTAAAAAAAGAAGATGAGAAAAATATAGATAATTCCAATGTGTTTATCTCGGCGGAAGACTCGAAGAATATTATTGTACCGGATTGCCAATTAAATCAAATTGAAGAATTAATAGATTCGTCTCAATTAGGAAATGAATTACAAAATGAAAATGTCGAAATTAAATCGTCTTCTATTACTTCCTCAATCGTTCAACAAAATTTAAAAAATTCAAATGAAACAAAAGCAGAGGCGTATGCAGTCGTAGAAAGTTTACCAGATTTGTCATTTCTTAGTGCCAGAAAACTTATGCATGTAGCAAATGAAAATATTAATAGATGGAGAATAGGGAATTAATAATTAGTTAATATTTTGTAGGGTGCATAAATAATAAAACAAATTAAATTTCGTCATACCATAAAAGTTTTAATCATAAATATCTTTAATAAATTATTGAATCTGACGTTATTTTTGATATTTTAATAATATTTGAAATAATCATACTCATATTATTTATACGCTTTTACAAAAAAAGTTTTAATTTTACAGATATTATATTTGATTTGTGGCCAATTTTACATTATTTGGTAATTAATAAAAATAGATAATAAAAAAAAACCACATGATAAAATTTGATTTACATACATTACAAGATCCGAGTGCTAGTCATAATAATTTTTTTTTTTTTTATTTTATATAAATGTACATAAGCCTCTTATTTCTAAAAATGTGATAAGTTTAAATTGAAATAAAATTACCAGTAGAATATTTAATTTAAAATATTTATGATAAAATTATTATAACTAAGGATTGCTTTGATGAAATTCTAAAAAAAAAAAAAACAAAAACTTTGATACCATTCATTATAAATACAAAGAAATCCGAATTATTATTATTATTTTTTTAGGTACGGACAGGGCAAAAACAATATTTTTTTGGGATCAAAATTTAGTATACAATATTTAAAAAAAAAAAAATCAATTTTTAAGTGCAATAATTAGTTTTAAAACAAAAAAAAAAAGTTTTTCGTTTTTTTTTTCTTTTTATTTAAATTATTTTAATGTTTTAATCAAACTTTTTTTTTTGTAAATAAATTGTAAATAATATACAATTTTACCTTTTGTTAACCATTTTCTTTTTTTTATTTATAAATAATCAGAATTAGAAATAAATTTACATAATATAATTACAGTTTATTAATAATAATAATAATAAGACTTTGATCATTAAAAAAAAAAATACCTTTTAATAAATTATTTAAAATAAAAACAAATAAATAAGACAGTATTATTGATTTTTTAATTTATTATTTTTAATTATAAATAAATATTTGTAAATTATTTCAATCGTGTAAATAAAAATAAATTTGTTTTAATTTATATATATTTTTCTTTTAATATAAATAATAATAATAATTTAGTGTAATCGTTGAAAAAAAAAAAATATTTGTAATAAATAAAATCAATTAATTAATTTTTTTTTTTTTTTTTTAGATGTGAGGGGAAGGAAATATGTTAAATTTAAATTTTAATATTAAAAAAAAAAAAAAAATTTGTATTCGCAAGTATAATGTACAACACATTGAATCTGGTAGTCCTTGACACGTTCTAACGGTACAAGAGTCTAAAAAGTTTTTTTTTTTTGTTTGATTAACAAAGTCAATTCTAACGGGTAATTATAACAGCTTTTTTTCAAGGTTTTTTCTTATAAAAGTTTTATTTATATTAAATTTTAAAACAAAGTCTTTTTACCCATCAATAGAATAATTTTTGTATGTAATCTACAAACAAAAACACTAATTATTTAAATTTTCAGAACAACAAATACAACAGAACTCCTCTGTATCAGAAAAAAAATATCCAGAAAAAAATTATTTATTTTTGATTAAATGTCTCTGAGGGAAACATGATAAAAACATATTTATAATATTTTTAACACATCTTTATCAAATAATCAATGAAAATTATATAAAGGTAAAAAAAATATGTATAATTTATTATTATTAT